TATATATATATACACACATATATATATATACATACAGTATGCAATACTTTTGTGATTTGGTCATCTCACACAGAATTGGTTTTAAATCCTCTTTGGATATAGGTTCATGAGAGCCTGATTACACTACGTGATGCTATGAATAAAATGCATTAAGCTAACCACTATATGTATACAGGTATTTAACCCACTCCTGAAGGATGACTTTTGTTTTGAAGTGTTTCAGAAGGAAAAGCTGTAAATTACATGGAAAGTAAACTGGGTCAAGTGTCAGGTATAGGTGGCGCCATGGACTATCTGTCTCGTTTCTCTTGGAAGGAGACAGATAGCAGGCATAGTCATCTTGCTCTCACCTTACCCCTGTCTGCTCTACTGAGAAAGTAAGTCAATATAGCATTAGAAAGCCTATTATCATAGGCTTCATCTGCAGGTATTGCCCCCTGCTGGTTATTAAAAGTAATGCAAGTTTGTGCACTTGGGCAATGGTGCATTTTTCAGACCAAGTGGTCATCTCCAATGCTGCACACATAGTCTGTGAATACAGTGCAACATAGCACTGTACATTTAACATTTTGGTAAAGTTGAGAGTGAGATTAGAAGATCCATACCACTCATGTCTGATCACAGACTATACAGCAGAGGTGGGCAACTCCAGGCCTCGAGGGCCGGTGTCCTGCAGGTTTTAGATATCACCTTGGGTCAGCACACCTGAATCACATGATCAGTTCGTTACCAGGCCTCTAGAGAACTTCAGGACATGTTGAGGAGGTCATTTAGCCGTTTGAATCAGCTGTGTTGGATCAAGGATACATCTAAAACCTGCAGGACACCGGCCCTCGAGGCCTGGAGTTGCCCACCCCTGCTATACGGCTTAAGCTTGAATCAAGTCAGCATACTCAGCACAAAGAGTAGAAAGAAGTGGAACCTGCTAGCCTGGCTCCATCCAAATAACACATACCCATCAGCACCATTCACTCGCTACATGTTCGATAGTCCAGTGTCATTTCAGAACCCTGAACGTGAGAATGTGTTGAATTTTCAGTGTTTTTTCCACTTTAAGGATAAGTGCTAAGATTTCATTAATGTCCTTATCTTTTAGGCGCTAAAGGGAAATTTACTTGATTATTTTCATAAAGGTCACAAGGAGCTGTTCTGATGCAGTAAACCCTTTAATGGGAACCAGTTCTTGCAAAAGGCTAAAGCTTATGCTCACAATATTTGACAACTATTGGCTGACCCAGTCATGCTGGAAGGGATGAGAAGGAGAGTATTTCCCAGGGAGCCACAAAAAGATGGTATAAAGGGTTTAGGGAGGTCAGTTGGTCCATCGCTGTGGCCCAGTTCCTCACATGAAACCCTTGTTTCTCGTTTGGGAGAAATGTGCTAATCCCCAGGGACTCACTCTGGGCCCCAGCAAACCTTTGAAGGAATAAATAGCCCCAAAAAAATCAGCTTTTGTTCTTCAAACCAGCTTTTGTACTCCTAACCTCTCTCAGAGCTTGTATTTAACAGACCGGTTATGAGCTATTGTATAATAACTGCCACTATGACACAGTTTCCTCTGGAAACATTGTATAGCAGATGATATATACACACAGTGGTCTTATAAACTATGTAGTCCTTGAACCTGCCAGTATGGAGCTGTTTTCCTTTTGTGTGTTTTTTTTATTGGACATGCAGTGTTTAAATAAAGGAAGGATCTAGCCCTGCGTGGGCCTTCTGATACCTGATACCAAAGCCTGCGTGTGTGTGTCAAGCTGCAGGATTTAGAAAAAGAGCACATGATGTAGGTAGTCAGATGATGAAGCTATACCTTACATAAGAAACACCCGCAGTCACTCAGTAAATAGCATCAGCTGAGGGAAGGGCGTAGAGTTTAAGTGCTCTGCAGCCCTCTAGTCTCTAATTTAATCTTCCTGATGTCAGTACAGTATTTCATCACCTTGTCCTTAATTGAACTATGGCTTGGTACCATTTACAATTAAAGTTGTAATCCAAGATTACAGTCCTGGCAAACTGTTGTTAATAAAGATAACAGCAAATAGCTGTAGACCCCAGACAGCTTACACTTGTGTCATCACTACTTCAGAAGTTGGCAGGAGCTGTAATATTTAAAATCAGGAAAAGTAATGTATGTTTGTTGTTGTATGTTGTTTTCAGACTCTCCAGTAAGATACTGATAGAGTTTCTTTGGGGGCCAAACTCATAAAGAGTGCAGACAAGTTCATAAACAAATGAAAAGGAAACTGAAAAACAATATAATCCCTGCTGTCTTACCTGCACACTGTAGTCAAGTTGCAATGAAAAATAGGCGTGAATGTAGAAAGTCAAACAGTACAGGAGACACATGTGTGAATAGTTTTCAACACACCCAGGGTTGGAGTTTCACTAAAAAGAAACCCTGTAGTATATTACAAATTACTGTAATTACTATGTAATTACTTGCCAGAGAAAATAATGTGTTACACTGATTATTATATTACTTGAAATACATTATCACATAATTATCAGTTAACAACATAAACCTGAGGCTACAGCCCCACACACCATTGCATCTCTATCCTAAAGAGGACACACAAGATCTTTTTTAGTTTTTAAATATAAACGCAAAACGGACAAAAACAGAGCAAATTTGAAAACAAGCCTAAAGAGTTTTCAAAGCGATTCTACTTTCAAAATATGTGCAGATAGAAATGGTCACATGCCTGATATCGCTGCCTTTGTTACCAACTGAAGAACAGGCTCTGGATGCTGGACCAGAGTCTGCATGCTTCTTTGCTACCTTTGTGTTAGCATGCTGTCTGTGCAGAGCTGAAGTTGTGTTATCAGTTTTATGCAGCTGTTTCTGTCCTGGACAATTTGCACTTTCACATTTCGCTCTTGTTTTAATTAATGTCCAAATCTTCACTCCTCAATAGTTCCACTGCTCCAGTCGACTGATTTTCCTCCTTCCTACACAAAAACCTGCGTACCTTGACGTTTGCATGATCAAAAAGTCAGTACAGCTCTGATATGATGGAAAGAGACACTAACAATAAAAACGAGAAATGGATGTTAATACATTGAATAACTATAGCAGAACGAATGCCAACTATAAATACAATCTAAAGATTACAACTTGAAAATTGTTAGAATTAATATGTATCCTGACCAGTGTCTTGTTGCCTGCTTGTCATCTTTCTGCCTCTTTCTTTCTCTCCTTTTCCTTCAGATCCTTGTTTTTTTGCTACAGTAAAGTCTGTGTGAAGGCGAGAGGAGGAAGGATGGTGACATTGGAAACCCCAGAGGCTCCCGTTCCTCTGACAGCGCTGTCACGCTGGTACCTGTACGCCATCCATGGTTACTTCTGCGAGGTGATGTTTACTGCAGCCTGGGAGTTTGTGGTCAACTGCAACTGGAAGTTCCCTGGCGTGACAAGTGTATGGGCGCTCTTCATCTATGGCACCTGCATCCTCATTGTGGAGCAGATGTACCTAAAGCTGCGCGGTCGCTGCCCCGTGCTGCTGCGCTGCATCATCTACACTTTATGGACCTACCTGTGGGAGTTTGGTACGGGGCTGCTGCTGCGCCAATTCAACGCCTGCCCTTGGGACTACTCTGAGTTCCGCTACAACTTCATGGGACTGATCACGGCTGAGTACGCAGTGCCCTGGTTCTGCGCATCCTTCATTGTGGAGCGCCTCGTCATCCGCAAAACGCTGAGGCTGCGCTTTCATGAAGGGCCCGAGGATGGTTGGTCAAACCATCAATCTGATGCTGGGAGTGGCCGAGGGAATGGAGGAACTGTGGGGGGTGGGAGAAGGAGAGAGAGGAGCAGAGGGATGGGAAATAATTCTAATGGCTACCTTAAAGCAGAATGAATCACGGAATTGACAGAATGACACAATCCAAACCAGCCCAATCCGACCCTCCTTTTCATAAGCAGTCCTACCCCTCAGCTGTGTGAGATGAAGACACACAGCTGTGCAGACTGGGCTGGTATGCAGACAGCCAGACAACAAACACCTAACTGGGGCTTTAAATGCCCAAATCACACACTGTTAACACAGGAGTACCGTTAACTACATGCTGCTGTGTTTGCTGCATTTCATAACGCACCACCCATTTCCATGTCGGCTTGACCTTAAGGAGATCAGGGCTCTCTCTCCTGTCCCACAGTGTTTGGGTAAAAGAACTACTGTTGCAAAGAGTATGTGTGATTATCCCGTGGAGGAATTAATTCACAAACAAATACATTATTAATATTTTTCAGGGGCACATCAGTCTATATTAAAGCAGAATGCTTGCTGTGTAGAAATCATAGTAAAAAGTAGCTTGGTTGTGAAATGTCCTTTTTAAAATGTACATATTGTCCTTTAGTATTATTCAAAGTACTGTAGTAATGTAGCTACAAAAGGATCCTTAAAGGTACTGTATACCAGCATTTTATTTTGAAAGGTCATTCACAGCTAAAAATAAGGAGCTTTTGCGTGTGACAGGACACCGCCTGCTGGTATCAATACACAATATAGTGCTTGCCTGATTGAGCTGGTTAGCAGTGACTGAACTTTCAAAATAAAATACTTGTATTCCACACCTTTGAGAGTATACCATCCACCCAGGAAGCAATGCGCCATCTGTCAGCTTACGTCACGACGAATGTTTCTCTGCAGTTAGAGAATACCCACAATGCCTAAAAAACAAAAAACAAAAACAATGCATGAAAAAATTGTCTTCCAATATAATGTGACATTTTTTTTACAGAGCTCATTCAGCAGCCATACTGTGTGTCTCCACAATCAGTCTGCTGCTTGTGTGTTAATGACAGTAGCTCAGAAGGTGGAGCTGGTCCACCAGCTATCAGGGTTGATTGCCTGTTGTCTCCTGACTGCATGATGAAGTGTCCTTGAGTGAGACGTTGATACCCAAACTGCTCCCGTTGAGCAAGTCATGGCCTTGCATGGCAGCTTCTCCGCCACTGTGTGTGACTGTAGGTGTCTGCAAGCTTATATGATGGCTTAAATGCAGGGACGCCTTTCTGCTGTCATGGTTACGAGTCACGACCATCAGCATAAAGCACAAAGCTTCTTGGTAATGTGCTGTTCAAAAACGTGCACACGGCTCGCTGTCTGCATTTTGTTTGCTTTAATGTTGTCGAGGCAACACATGCCTCATGTATGTATGTAATTGTCATTCACTGGAACACAATACTCCTTCCTGTCCAGTTACAGTGCACACGTATGAATATGTTTGCTGAATAAGTGAAGCCTGCGAACGGAGAATCTCATGGATGGATTTTTATTTACAAAGAGTCATCAAATTATTGGTCTTTAGGTTTCCATTTCTGTCCCCGTTGTTTTTGTTGCCGACTTAAGTGAAGGAGAGGAAGTGCACAGCAGAATTTGTTAATAATTTACTGAAGAAACACTCACTTTTCAGCTAAAATGGAATTAGTTGCTCATGTGTTTTATAAATTCATGATGTGTAATTTGACCTCTTTGGTATTACGCTGGATGTTTCCACGTGAGGCAGAGTGCATCAGTGGAGCCGTATTATCAGCGCAACTAGGTTAAAATGCTCAAAACTCTGACACTTTTTAACATTCATGTCTTAAAAGCAGGTAACCCACACAGAATAATGGTAGAATTAGAGGTAGAAGGATCAAGAAGTGCATACACTTGCCTACATATGCAGGAAGCGATGGCATTCTTTCTATGTGGTGCTAACTGTTTAAATGTAAAAGAGGTAAGACACTTCACTTTGATTTCAATGTACTGGAGGACTGATAGCATATACTGATAGCATGTCATATAGAATGTGATTGCTGAAAAGTATATGTTCTACAGAAAAGACACACTGTGCTTGATCAACTTAAACTTGAGCAGTTATTAGAAACTGATGGACTCTGTAAAACGGTGACCTTCATCTGTGTTGCGTCACTGAAATGCAGTGGCTTCCCTTCACTGTCTCTCTAAGCTGGGATGAAGTGCTGCCACCCGGTGGATACACTGAAAACAACTTTTATTATGCTACAATGGAAACTATAATGTGTAAAGAAAAACTTGTGAAAAAAACAAAAAACATGTTGTGGTTTTAACCCCATGGCATTTTTATCTAACTTTAACACGTTTATTTCATATGTGACTCAAAAGGCTTAAAAGCAATATAATCTATGCCCCAGCTATGTTTAACTTCTCTTTAAAATCCAATGAACTACAATATGGTATGCAGCTAATTAGTACTACTGCTTTAACGGAAGAAATTACAAAAAATGCAAGTGTATTCTCTGCAATATGTGAATGAAGGCGTGCTGAGTGTGCATAGGGTGTTGTACAGAGACACTGTCTCTGTGTGTGCATGTAAAGTGTGTTAAAGTTGATACTCTGGTATTTTTACCTCCAGTGTGCATGTGCAAGTGCAAAAATTATCTCGTCAAACTCAGATTTTAACCTGCTGATTATTAGCCCCCCATGCACTGCAACAGTTGCTTTAAAGAAACAAACAAAAAAAAAAAGAGAAATGTACAGGTTTTTAGTGAAATCACTGTACTGTATATCAATCATTTTGTTTTTTGTTCATGTATGATTTATCAGTTGCTGGGATTAAATATATTTATTGGATCTTGATATTTGTTTGTATGGAACCTTTTTTCTTAAATGTATACATTTACCCACATTTCACTCAAAGACAACTCTAGATTCTTCAGAGTTCATCCTCGGGGTACAATGAATATCTGTACAGTAGCTCACAGCAGAGATTTCCCTCTGGATCAGGTCATGGCTACTCCTGAAAAGTAACACAACTAAATCTTTTCTCCTGCTTGGCTAAAGACCCAGAATTAAAAGTAAATAGGATAATGAAATTAGTTGTTTTACATCCATACAGTTTGAACATAAAACAAACTTATATAAAAGTTTTTTTGGGGGGGCAAACAGCTCACACATTAAAACCCCCCTTCAGTGTTGGAAAACATCTGCAGTCCGAGATTAAGCAGGTGTAAGTCTTTGTTTGAACATTTGACTTCTTAACATCGAGCTAATTGCTGCTTATGCGAAATCACAGAGCAGGCCATCAAACGTGCTTTACAAAAATGCTCATATCCTCAAGGGATGAGCAACTTTCCCTGTGATTGAGTAACTGGTGCTCTGAGTGAGAACTTCTAGGTCACTACATGTTCTAGTGCTTTCCTTCAGGAAGATTTTCACAGGGTCACATCTGAAACTGTAGCAGACACAATCACATTCTTTCTCTAGATCCACAAAGACACAGTGTAATTTATTCTGACCTCTATACTTCACCGTCAACATCCTCAGCATCAGTAACTCTTTCCCATAGCTTCATGGTATCATCAATTTTATCTCTCTGTAGTTATTGCAGCTCTGCACATAATCTCACTCTTAAAAACTCTGTACCAGTACACTATTTCTCCATTTCTCAAACATTATCTCACTTTCTAAGATTGTTTTTAAACAGTCTGGTTAAAAAGCCCACTGCCCCCTCTCCCAGAAATCTCCATATCTCCACAGGCATGTCATTTGAGTCAACCACCTTTCCGTTTTTCATCCTCTTCACTTCCTGATTCACTATCTGCTATCCCTCCTCCTCTCTGTCATTTTCTTTATTTTATATAGTTTTAATCTTGCAAAATATTTTCCATCCACGGAATGAGTAAAGTTTTTCAGGATACATCAAAATCTGTAGAATAAGGGTGAGTATTCTGTTGAAAACCTTCTTGGTTTTGTACCTGCTATACCTGCTGTAGAGAGACAGCAAAGAGATGCTTTAATAAGACTATTGGCGTGTTAGCGGAATGCTAACTTTAGCATGCTAACATGTCCAAACACCAACTATATGCAAATTAGCAACAAAGAAACACGTACGACTGAGACCGGTATTTGTCATGGTTTTCTTCATTTTTCAAGGTTGTTATGATTAAACAGGTGAGGCGATGAAAAGTTTTTAAAAAACAAACATTCAAATTAAAACGACTTTTCATGGCAAAGCACAAGCCTACAGTCTACAGTTAAGAGACCTTAAACACACATCAACTCAGTGGAACTTCAGGCTGTCCAAAGGGTTTTTGAAGTTTTTCTTTGGACTCCTTTTCACTCATTTTTAGTCCAGTCGTTGTACTTGACCATTTTCAGAGGAATGCCTTTTGTTTGTTGAGCCACTTAACACTGACCTATGACTCATTTAAGCATAAAAACAGGACCATAAAGCAGTGTTGTGTCTACACCTAAGAACATAGCAACCAACTAGTACTAGTACTTGCAGCCTGTTGCAAAAACATACAATTTGTTCACATTTCTCTAGTTGAATCTAGAAAAATGCCAACTTTGATTATCTTACAAAACACCTGGAGAACTATTTCTGAACACTACTAAAATAAATGACAATGCCTAAGAGAGTTCAGGCTGCGTGGAAGAATAATGGTCACAGATCATACCAGATATTGACTTTCAAGCTGATTTGAAATCAACAAACCTTTTTGATTTTATCTTATATACTTTATACACATTTATATTTGCACAGCTGTAACACAGAACCTTAGTCTTATAGCATTATTGTTTTTAATACTGTATTTTTAGCCTATTTAGAGTGTAAATTGCAGTGACCTAGATTATACACTCCGTGTTTCTGAGCGCATGCCTCTATCACAGTTATCAGGATCATGGTTAATTATGCAAGCAATCCTTCGAATTACTGCCAAAAATCTTCACTGTTGCCTTTATAAAGTGTAAACCCCTGGCCTATAGGTGTTTATATTATAGCAGGTACTTTTCATGTGTTCACAGCAAGCTGCAGCTCACTTCTTTAACCACACGATGGCTCTTTTTCACCAACAACGACAGGCGAGCGGACAGACAGCTTGAGGACACAGGTTGATCCTGAGTCATCAGTCTGCTGAAAGATTAGGTTGTCGAGTAGGCAGTTTTTATGGCCGTGCTTTCCAAGCAACGGGACAAAGATGGGTTTAAAATGTAACTTTTCATGATGCACACTCGTAGGATTTTATAGCAGTCGAGTTGCCCATCAAATATGAAGGTTTCACTCATCTTTGTTTTTAACCTGTAATTTATTTATGACAGGCTCTGACTTCAGCATTTTATGTAAGCATAATAAAACTGGAGTTTGTTTAGTTACATGATGGTGCGCTGACAGATTTGTGTTTGTAGAAGAGAAGTAGAGAAAAAATTTTCCATCTCCTCCCTCCTTGCTACCACACCTTGCACCAGCTACTGAGAATATGGGTCATTAACATGCCTTGTCAAATCAATTGGCTTTGAGTTTCAATTGGCCCTGGGGCCCTTCAGCAGAGCCATGCCTACCTACCTGTAAGAGGGTTTGTCTTCTTCACACGCCCGAATGCACTAATTGGCACAAAGCTGCTGTGGCCCTGCCTCAATCGGCACTGTCGGCAAGTGGCTTCATCACCCTTCTTCCAATCACTCTCTCGCACTCCAAATAAGGACATTCAGAACCTGTGAGTGTGCTGCCTAAGGCGGGAATCTAAGACCTGTCTTGTGAGTGTGTCGTGTTGCTCGTGTGCGCGCGTGCGCCGCACTTTGTTAAGCTTAAGTTTCACCGGGCTTTTCTTGTGTGACTTCATTGTTCTCTGTGTCAGGTCTAGAGTTTGCTTAACAGGAAGTGGATTAAAGTCCAAGCATTAATGTAGAATATCCTCAACAGCTCGACCTCACTGAAACTACATTGCCGGAGAGAAATCAGAACTCTTAAGCAGGCTAGTAGTCTTTATAGGTGCAAATTATGAAGTCTGACTTAGCTCTGTTTATTAGTTCTATTTTGTATGAATGTGAAAATGGGCTTAAAGTTTCTCCAACCTCTACTGAGGCCCCCCTCAAAGATTTGGCGAAAACTCTTCTTGGTTGATTTTTGTTTGCTTGTACCATTCCAAATTCTTACAGTGTTTATAGCTAAACAAGCTTTTAAAATACACTCACCGATTCTGGGCAAGCATCTTTTTTGGGGGCTGAAGGAGGAAAAGATCTCGCTCCCAGTCCTCTCCTAAGAGAATACATTAGGGTACTAAGCTGAGTCTCTATGAGGTAGTTTAACATTAGTAAATGAAATGATCAAGATAGATTAATGTAAGTTTGCTTTGAGAACCTTCTTGCTGTCTTTTAACACATTTCTCAAAGCATAGCTGGCAGTCTGATGTTACATTTTTTTTAAATTGCAATACTGAATTTGCTAAACTGACTATGTGTACATGTAGGGAAGGGACTGATGGCAGCTGAATGTCAGGTTGGCATTGAGAAGCACTGGGCTGAATGACAGTGCTATGGTTCATTTAGTGAGCGTCATTAAGGGTGTTGGGGGTAGGGTCGGAGGCCGAGGTTTGGTTGGGAAGGCAGACTGACAAAACGAATCGTTCCATCAAATCAAGGCAAGGCCTTAACATTTGCATTTCCACTGAATCAGAGCCAGTAAAGAAAGAGCTCTCCATTGAAGGGAAACTTGTTTGACGTGTGAATGAGCGAATGCGTCAGGCTTTTGCTAAAGCACATTCATGCCTTCACAGCTTTGGACAGAGTTTAGGTCTTTTGCTCAGATCCTGCTGGAAATCGCAGACCTTTTTAGTCACTTTTTCCTCTCATGTAGGCTGCTTGGCAGTCAGGCCCTCCTGCAGTCAGGGTTGGACCAGCATAGGATGAAGAGCTACATGTTCATCACTTACTTTTCTTTTCCTTGACCTTACTGTACTCCTGTGTCTTCACGCTGCAATAGTGAGGCCAAATAAATCTGCTCACTTGGATGTTTGATTTTGCCATGGCATCCACATGGCATGATGACTGAGGTCTTGGGCTAGATGCTGGAATTTGGAGGGCTACCCTATTTAAATATGCAGCTTCCATATGCAACATGGAAACTTCAATCCTTCGGTCCACATATTAAGGATACAAGTTAACACCAGTGACAAAGAGCAACTGGGAACATAAAGTTTTGTCATCTAATCATATGTTTCTCTTTTCCATTTAATAAGCTAAAAAGTGGGCCACTGCTGTAGTTGCATTTATGTATCAATTTAATTCAATTTTCAATGTTCAATTCAATTTTATTTTGTTATTTATTTAGTATTATCAAGAACTAGATGGATACTATTGACTTTGTTAAGCCTCTAGTGCCACCAGGTTGTCAAAATTATTATGTTTTATATATATATATATATATATATATATATATATATTGTGCTGATTCTAAAGTATACATATACAGAAAATCTAGTCTTAAGTAGGCCTAAAAATTTGATAAACAGTAACAACACATGCCGTATTACACCATGTCATTGTTTATTTAGCAAAAACTAACCCAAAATGCAGAAGCTTTGTGTAAAAGGTACACCTTGTAGGACCACCTTTAGCAGCAATAACGATGTTCTGTTTGACATACCGGTCAGTCTGTCACAGGGGATTTCAATCAGGTTGACGTCTGGACTTTGACTAGTTCATTGCAACACAATCATTCATATCTTTTTCAGCCATTCAGTTGGGTTGTTGGGTATTTGTTGGTGTGTTTAGGATCATTGTCCTGTGGCATGACACAGTTTTTGCCAGACTTTAGCTGTCAGACAGATGGCCTCACAT